TCAGCTGACACGTCCCATATAAAGAACTTAGACAATTAAAACCCATTTGTATTTCTAGCAAAACCACAATGTACCACAGTTTTCCTGGGTAGAATACGAATGAAATAACACGGCGTTTGCAACACTAAAGCCATGAAACTCTTCCTGCTGAATACTGAATACTCTTCGTGTGCGGTTAGGACAACACCTATTTATACATTGCAAACCTGTATCAGAACTCGGAAACTTAAATTTTCACAGTTTTCTTTCCTATCAGATTTTTTAAGATGAATAATAATTTTTAAATCCTCTTGTATCCCCTTATATCCGGTTTTATTTCGTGTCATCAGGGCGGCAGTTGTTTTAAAGCCAAGGAATTGTTGAATCAGAGATATCAAGGAATAAAAAATAAGGGCAGCAGATATGCTGACTGTATTCACGCTCTCGGCTGTACAATTTATCGTTTATTTTGCGGGGTCCTTATACACCCCGAGATCAGAGTGGAACCCATGCTTTCTTCACGCTGTGTCTCAGGAACTATCCCTGCTCGTTCTTCTGCGCGATCTTGTGAGGACACTTGTGGCCCGTCGCTAAATTCAGACGGAATACGAAACATTTTGATTAATAAAAAATGAATATGCAGCCAATTCTGCAGCTGGCTGACAGTCGAAGAGCGAAAGCCGTTCTTGATAATGTCTTCAATAGAAACCGCGGGCTGTGTTTCAGCGAGACACCTCTGATTGTAATAAGTGCGCGATAAAATATGTTGTCCTCTTGTTTAAAATTGGGGACACAAACCGCGATAGGATACTCGTTGGGTCGTTATTTGTAAAACACGGTACAATAAAAGGAGAATAATTCCATTTGAAAACATGGCCCGATCAGAGTTCATCGGCAGGTCACTGAATTCATTTTGATTCCATTCCTAGCCTGATCTGTTGCTCGGCAGAACCCCGCAACGCATTTTAATATCTATAGGCGCTTATGATTGAGGGGGGGGAAGATGAAATCGAACTGATTTATCTTCGCACTTGTTTTGTTAATGGACTTATAATAATTAATAGCGGGTAGCTTTAATTAGTTAAAAATAGATTCAAATCTTTTTTTTTTATTCGAGACTCAAGCTTCTCAGTCCTCTCCCGAACCCCCTAGGGGAAACACCGAGAAAGAAAATATCACTCTCCAAAAAGACGAACATCTGCACTATAAGAAACTTCATATATTTAAAGCCACGTTTAATAATCAAAACAATTAAAAGCCACACGGAGGAATTCTAATTACAGGCAGGCACTTGCTACGCACCCCCACTGTCTGTTAATTTATAGCTCGAACAAAGGACGTTTGGAAGATACACATTTTCATAAGCTTACACGAACCAATAGACATTTTTCTACATATAAATTCAGCAATAGGAAACCTTGTATGTGTATAAAGATGGATATTAGATATACCCTATATTGAAATTCCTTTTATCTGAGCTCCTATTAGGGTATTTGACTTGAGCTTTCTCGAAGGCAGATAAATACATATTTGTAGGACAACGAAAATTAAGTTTAACGCCATGGCTGGCCAAGTTTTCGGGCCCTGGTTTCAATATATCCCCCCTTCGTAGCTGTTTTCTTCAAAGTAATGACCTGGGCACAATTCAATATGACCGAGCAAGCTATGCATGCATTACTATAGAAGCGGCAAGTGGGAGAGACCCAGCTCAGGGGTGAAACGCAGGTCAGCGCGTCTAACAAATATTAAAATGTCCTGCGAGTCCCTGACACGCCTAGCTGTTTAACAAAGACTGCCAAAGTATGAGATTAATACGAAAACTTGCGGGTTCACGACAAAATCCGTGAGAGGGGCCGATGGTGTGTCACATTTTGCATAGTTGTGGGGGCTTTGTTGGTGGTTTCAAATGTATCGGCTTGAGACAGCGGCGTGGAAAAGGCGAGAGAGATTGTCGAAGGTTTAAAAGCGACAAAGGAGCGTGCTCGCTCGCCGCCTGATGAAGCTGATCTCGTGCTGTTTGCTGTCTTATTATTTTCTTCCTCTTATGGTAGACACGCCGAGGATTGTGTTGTGATCAAGACGGTGGTGGTGATGGTGGTGGTGGTGGTGGGTTTTTTTTTTGTCATGCGCGCCTTCTCGCTGCGGGCTGGGGCTGTGATAGCGGCTGGTAAGGTACGGATCTGCAGGAGCAGGGGTGAGAGAGAGAGAGAGAGAGGGAGAGATGTGCAAGGTATCACGGGGAGGTCACGGGCTCAACCTGTGGCGCGAGAGAAAAGGGAAGGGGGTCTCGGCTGTCGATGAGGCTCGGGGGGGAAAAATAAAGAAAGGATTTTGCAGGGATAATGACCGGGGTAAGACCGCGTAGTGTGTGTATGTGTGCGCGGATTGAATGGGGGGGGGAACCGCAAGGAAGCACAGGATTTAAATGGGACTATAAAGTAAGTGAAAGCTTGTTTTAAAGGCTGCATTGGGCTTTAAAACAGTTTCGCGAAAGTGGCCCGATAGCAGGTGCCTTCCTGGGCAGACCACGTGTTCGAAACTGGAGTAGGTCCACGACTTTTTTTTTTTTTGTCCGTCTTCAAACCGAGTTTTAATTTTTTAGCTGCGTTCCTTTGCTTTACACACGCCGGTGTGCTGTTCTGCTGTATGTTGTAACTCTGCGTATTGAAAAGTGTTGTTGTTTGGTGGGTTGGCTTTATTTTTGCTCTTTTATTTCAATTTCAATAACTTCGACGGAATATGCTTCTCTGCTCTAAACCGTCTCTAAACAGAGGGTGCCCAGGTCCCGATTCTGTAAGGAGTGTTTAGGGGTGACGGGGTGTCGTTAGGGGGTGAGCGGGGGGTGGATGGGGGGGTACAGGGGGGGATCGCACCTTTTCCTCTAGTTTAAGTTAGAAACCCCTGGCGGTGCGTCTGCTTTGAAATGCAAAATTAGTTAGAGACAGGGAGCCACGTTTGTCCTCTCGTGTCTCTGAGCTGTGGGCGCTTGAACCGCGAAGGCACCGCCGTTCATAATGTAGCCAAAACTAAAAAAACTCAGCGCCGGGGAACAGAAAGTCGATCCGATCTTAATTTTCTGCAGCAACGTCAAGGCCTGTGTTTCAGCCAGATGGAGGTTGTGTTTCGACGCTAGGGGTGCTGATTGCTTTCCTTTGTTTTCCTCAGCAAATTATAAATTAACAATCGAAGATAATACTGTAGCATAATTCGATTCATCGTTGTTTTCCAGTGATTTCCTTTGGTGTCTTTTGCAGTAGGTGCTCAGTTCAGAGCCCCTGTTCTTTTTTTGTGGCTATTGAGCAGAGCAAAAACACTGTGTAAAATCTGGAAGGGTTGTGAGAATTTCTAAACTGGAAATAAAAATGCTTGACATTTATATTGCAGTTCCGCGTGTATTTGTCAAACCAAACAAATATTAACGACAGTGGCGTTCTTACGTGATGGTGTCGAATAGAGATTAAACGAAAAACTCACATACGGGAATGTGGAATGCATTTTTCCGGGCTGCAAAAATTCTGTTTATTTTTCTGCTTATTATCGCACTTTGTTAGAACAGCTTACGATATTAATTATTTTTGGATTTACACAATGCGGTATCATATAAAAAAAAGTTAAAAGAATAATATTTTTTTTCATTTTAAAAACAATTGGTTGTACTTCCTACCTATCTGAAATAGGTTCAGATAAATTGTTCTTACAGACACGCAACAACCAATATTTCGCTTTACATGAACAGCACTTAAAATGTCTTTTTCGCAGACGAATTAAGAAGTACGAAGACATATATTATCACACGTAACTAGAAAAAAAAAACACAGAGATGTATGTAACAAATTCCAAAGGTGAATTCACATCTTTTCGCGTATATCGTTTCTGTATTATTTCGGGAGTGCTGGTCGGGGTTTTTACACCCTCGTGCGATGTGGGCCAGGTGTTCTCAGGGGGTGTTAGAGGCGCTTTCTCGGGAGCTCTTCAGAGACAGAAAGCGGAAGCGGTGCTGCTTACGGACGCGCCACAAAGTGAGACAAATGCTGTAAAAAAACCCTAAAAACTCGGAGATTGTGTTCTGTCGCTTTGAGGGCGCGAGGGAACTCCGCGTTATAAAGCTGTGTGTGTTTTATTACACTTGTGCTCAATCAAGGCCCTGTGATTAGGATTGGGGCCGCATTACCCAGGAATTACCTGTCATAAAACCTTTTAGCTTTTATTGCAGCTGGTATTATTATTATTATTATTATTATTATTATTATTATTATTATTATTATTATTATTATTATACGTTTACACAGAAAATTAACAGCCAGTATGCTGTGCTACGGTAGGGTCATATGTTCCTTGTCGAGGTGTTTGAGAAGAGAATTGCAGTCAACACTGGAGACAACACCAATAAAAACTGCAAACACGCGCTGGCAATATAAGGAAGGAAACTGGTGTTTTAGAAAGTTTTTTTTTTAATCCGGGCTCCCGCAATTTAACGAACACCGACATGACATCTTTCTGAAACGTTGGCAAAGCGTATCTATACGTACACTCACACCATCTACAGCCTGTTCCCAAACATACATGTATATACTTGGTGAAGAATGCAGTCTGCGGTGTTATTTTACTCCCTGGTGTTTAAAACGCTGTTTCTGTACGGGCAATAAGAAGATCTAAACATTTAATTTTAACTTAATCGCGTCACTCACTTGCGCAGAGTCAACTTAAATTGCTCACATCAATTCGAAGATTTATTACTGTTGCTATTATATTTTTACATTCGGTGCCGATTTCATTGCAATATTTTTAAAACGAAACATAGCTTCTTAGTGAGCGGAGGTCTGCGGAAAGCTCTCCCTGGAGCAGAGGAAGGTGGAAATATCCGGGTTCGTGATTCTTTATCGATGGTGAAGAGGAGTTCGGGCTCGGGGCCGGTGCAATTACCTGTCATCTATATATACCCTGTAGATCCGAATTTGTGTGAACAGACACTCGGTCACAAATTCGTATCTAGGGGAGTATGTAGTTGATATAAACGCTGCGATGCAGAGACCGAAGACCCAAGGATGCCATTTTTAAACGTGATTTTATTTGTGTTTTATCGATATCCGTAGCCTTTTTGTTGTAAACGAATAAAAAAGAACATTTGCCGGGAGCTGTTGTTTTTTAGAGTCAGTGAAACGCCTTGGACTTCTGAGTGTTTCGCTTTTTCCTCTTATTTTGTTTTATTAAAAAGCCGATTCCCCCACGTTAAAAAAAAAACTCGGCGATGCCATATGAAGTTGGGGGAGGAGGAGGAGGGGGGGGTGATCATTAATTCGTAGACCTACACCTCCAGTAACGTGGAGGCGCGTCGTACAGCTTGTATTTTTGTGACACGGAGACGTTCACGGTGTCGTTTTACGCCGCCAGTTTTGCGAAAAATTGAACAGGGCATGAACGAGCACTCCTCCCTGCGATACCTAAAACGGTTTTTCGCATTTTTGTGTTTTTTCCATTTTTTTCCCTTACCAAAGCTACATTTGAGCTACAGAACCGAAATTTCGAGGATTTGTAAAACAAGAAGAGTTGCGTATTTCTACATAGGAATCAACCTGAAGCCATTTCTATGCAAGGGGTGCGATTAACGCATTCTCTGCAGAGTCTCGCCCACAGGGTCTCTTTCATGCCCAGGTCTAACGGTGATTTAGGAGACTCGGTATCCCGAATTAGTTGATGAATTTTCTATCGATCCGAAACAAGCCCTGATTAATCTCTGACAGGCTCTGGCTGTGCGCTGCACACCCCAGACCTTTCTATCATCGCCATTAGTGACTACGTTTAAAGCCTGCCCAATACAACTCCGCCGCATCGCTTTGTGTCGAATTTATTTTCGTGAGCACGAGCCAGAATCTATCCAAATTAAAATTTCGTGACCGGGGACCGATAAGTAGCCCGCTCCCGCCTCCCCCTCTTCTGCCATCCCCCCCGTTTGGTTTAAACATTTAAGGGAAGATACTGGACTGGCTCGCCCGAGCGGACCTCACACACCGTCACTTCAACTGGAGCTCTTTCAAGAGGAATTCTCTCTCTTTTTCTTTATGTTTTTTTTTTACTGCGCCTTGTTGTTGTGATCCACCCCGCGCCCGCTCACGCCGCGCGTGCCAACAGATTAAAAAAAAAAAGTAGGCGATATTAAGATCACAAACTATGCAGAGATGATGTTTGGGGTACGCTCTGCCTAATCCTATTTCCTTATCCGGGAATCGTACGGGTCCACGCCATTGGCTGGTGGCGTCACATGGATTCTTAACTTTGTTCGTTTGACAGAAAGTAGGAGGGTTTTACGAAACAGGAAAACGAGTAAAGGGATAGAAATAAATTTTAGTATATTTTTGTGTGCAATTCAAAGAAATTAATGGCCATGAGTTCCTTTTTGATCAACTCCAACTATGTGGATCCGAAGTTTCCACCCTGCGAGGAATATTCACAGAATGACTACCTACCCAGCCACTCTCCGGATTACTACAGCGCCCAGAGGCGAGAGTCTTCCTTCCAGCATGAGCCGATGTACCACCAGCGGTCGGGCTGCAGCGACCCGCCTTACGCCTCCTGCCAGGGTCCCGGGCAACCCGCCGTCGTTGTGTCCCCGCGGGGTCACGTCCTCCCCCAAGCCGGAGTCCCGAGCCATCTCCCGGAGCCCAATCACCACTGCGACTCCGTCACCCCGAGCCCTCCGCCCGTCTCCGGACAAAACTCCGTTAACCAAAGCGCCTCTTCGTCCAGCTCAGGCAAGGAACCAGTGGTTTATCCCTGGATGAAGAAAGTCCACGTAAACATCGGTAAGTGCCGCTAACTTCTACCCCTCGTCTCCAACGCGTTTATTCTAACTAGGGTGGAAAAGCTACATGTCCGGCGTTAAATCTCCTGCTCTACTTGTGAAGTAGCCTTTGGTTGAGATTTACGATCGGCTGTTTGCACGGCAGTATAATTACATCCTCCATAAATTTTTATTGCACTCCTTGACCAGGCACCTTTGAAGTCTAAAGCAACCTTCCCCATCTAATTTCTTTCAGGGAAGGGTTTTTTTTTATGACTCTTGTAACCCATAAGTTAAGTTTTATGTTTTGGTAATTCGAATTTAAGTGTTTGGATGTATAAACGTGTGGCTTCGTCTGTCACTTTCCTACTGTTAAGGCAAAGTTTATTGATCTCAATGGAAAGTAAAAAAAAAATATATATATATGGATTTTGCTTTTTGTGTATGGACCACGTGCATGCTTCTCATTTCTGCTTGTGGTGATACCGTCGAAAGCTTTATGTCCAATTTAAGAAAGCGACTGTTAGTTTTTGCACTGTCACTGGAGATTGCGAGGCTATCCCAAGCGTGAGTCTTCCCATCTGCCTCCCTGTCCCATAGCGACTCCGCACTGTTGTTTAAAGTTGAAGTAGGATTTGAAATTTTACTTCACCGTGGTTTCGGAGCAATTCATGTCAAATCTTTGATGAAGCCTGATTTTTTTTTTCCCCCTGAAAACAAAAAGCTTTCTCTTTGTTTTGCCTGGTAGAATCAGTGGCATACGTGTGTATTACTAAATACATTTCTGGATTATGTATCGCAGTTATGGAAGCAGGGCTCTTTTTTTTGTATTCTTGGGGTTCAGAACGGGTCATACATGCTGGGGTGTTTTGTGTGAGATTGCGCACGTTTATCAAATCAATAAACAGATGCATTTTTATCTCTGTGCTTCTCCATACAGTGAGCCCGAATTACGCAGGGGGGGAGCCCAAACGCTCGCGCACAGCCTACACCAGGCAGCAAGTGCTGGAGCTCGAGAAGGAGTTTCACTACAACCGCTACCTCACCCGGAGGCGCAGGGTTGAGATCGCTCATACCCTGTGCCTGTCCGAGCGCCAGATCAAAATCTGGTTCCAGAACCGGCGGATGAAGTGGAAAAAAGACCACAAGCTGCCTAACACCAAAATTAGGTCATCGAACTCCTCCGCCACTAACTCTGCTTCTAGCCAGGCTTTGGGAAGTTCTCAGAACCGCGGCAATGCACAGCCGAGCCTATAGCTCGCTGCTCTCTTTCAAGGGGTTTGGAAATGCTCACTTTCCTGCATTGAAGGGAATATCACGTCGGGGAAAAAGGAGAAAAGAACAGACGAAAGGGACTCTTTATTTATACATTAAAAGGGGGGCGAGACTCCATTCCCAAAAATTAAAGCACAGATATGTGTTTCTGCTGCCCCCAGTCCCCTGCATTTTTGCCTTCCTCTTCCCCTCTTCTCTTACTCGCTCGCCCTGCATTACAACAGAAGGCTGCAGATAGTGGTTTTCAGGTTTGGTGAAGATGGATCCCTGTTTCATCCTTAATCATGCCAAACTCAGCCCCATTTGTCATGTTTACTCTGCGGTACAAAGGACGAACCGTATGCCTGCTAATACCTCGACATCCAACGTTCGCTTTAATAAATGAGCCCCCGTTTCGTCAAGAAGAGCCGGTTTTTTTTTACCCTCTCCTCTCCTCTCCTACTTAGAACAAGAAAAACAAAACTAAAATGAAGCCGGCTTCGCTCACAATAGGAGAAGTAGTTGGTGAAGGATTTGTTTTAAGGGGGTATTTTCCTCCCCTTTGTAGCTTCAACCATACGACGCGATTTGAAGGCAGATGTGGAGACCCCCTTTTTGTAGCTGATTACGTAGAGACATGGTTGTGCTTTTACGTTTTCCTATATGAACCACGGAGTGTACGTAAAGACACGGCCACAGCAAAGAAACGCAAAGGAGAGGAAAAAAAATGCGTCCTTTGACCCAAATATGAAAACGAAGATTCTTAGGTTAACTTAAGCCAAATGTCGTTACGGGCAATGCAACTATAAACAGCACTATATAGCTCCAGACAGTGTTTTTTTTATTACCTCAGTTGTGAATTTGTTGTTCATTTTGTCTTGTTTTTATGAATGATAAAATGAAACGTTCTATCGTTATGTTTATTCGCCTTGCCTTGCAAGTATCGGGAATTAGTACTTAATTCGTTACATGTTAAGTCTGTTGTAATTTGAGTGCTCATGTTGCCCAGGATTATAAAGAACAGTGCGTGTGATATAATCTAAAGCAGATTTGTTTTTCCCAAAAAATAGTTTTTTTCCTTTCCTCGGCACCCGCCTCTCTCTTCTCTTTGTTTCTTCTGTTCTCCGACACATCGGGCATTTTTGTGTTATTATTATTATTATTATTATTATTATTATTATTATTATTATTATTATTATAAATCCCGTTACATTCCAAAGGGTATAGTCCTGGCGCTGACATGTTAAATAATGTTTTGTTGTTTTTTTTAGTAGATCGTTATTTTTCTCTCTCTTGTTCTCCGTGTATCTACCTTAATATTTGTAAATAGTAATAGAATAAAATAAAAGAAAAAAGAAAAAAAGAAGGAAAAAATGTATCTCCTGCACGTGTGACTTTTCTTCCCCCCTTTCTCTGTCGCTGGTCACTAAACCGAATGTGATTGAAATACAGTTATTCTGAAGGTTCCTGTGTTAATGCCAAGTAATTTATTATACAAGTGCGATTTTTTTTTCCCATAACAAAATTCGTTTGCTGTTAGTGTATACCTGTCTTAAATACCGCTGGGTTGCTGTATCATGATTTATATCTTATGGACAAGAGTAATACTGGTACATTACGTCTTGTAATCTCGTTTTAAATCACAGTCTTGCTGTTTCAGTTCCCTCTGCCTTTTTATTTAACGCTCCTCGCTTCTGCTGGTTGGCAGTGTCGTGCAGGTATTGTAATTGGGAGCCCCAATTTTCGAACTTTAATAGTTTCCTTGCTCAGAGGCAGTTAATGCATTAATGAGAGTAATTTCTGCACAGCTGTTTCTCGGTGTTTGCAGGTTCGGTGTGTATTTTTGATATTACAAAGGAACAGGCCGATGCAATATCTCAAACTCTGACAACCAAATAGATAATCAGGAAGACGAATGGCTTCTTTTGTAAGGCGCAGCTCCTGTATTAATTCTCATTTTCGTTTCTTAGAGCAAGTATCGAAAATATAGAGCAGAACAAAATAACATTCCATTTGCGGTTTATAACTTTAAACAAGAATGCAACCTTAAATTGCTCTGAAAGAATGCCCCCCCAACCCCCCACCCCCCCAAGAAAAAGCACGGATTCTCCATTACAGCGGGGCCGTGGTATCTGAAATAGGGAGCTCCTTTTTTAGTGCATGAAACCAGTGCACAAAGGAATAAAAATCTTAACAGCATCATAAATTCACACCCGATTTAAGAGTGCATTAACCGCCAAGCTGGGGTTTACGTGCTTTTAAATGCCGGTGGGAAATTGCATTTTGATATGAATATTTTCAGAGGCTGGTAACCGTCGTTACCTCCTTTATCGTTTAAATGTGGGGGAGAGCGAGTGAATGAACACATTAAATTTTTTTTGAATATACCTTGGGACATTGTGAACTGTCTGCTGTAGCCCATTTTCTATTCCATACCGGGTCACTTTTAAGACGATCGGGGTGACTCAGCACGTCAGTATGTGGAGGTACATCTGCGTGTGCCCCCAAACCGCCTCACAAAAGGCACAAACCACCACAACTTGTGAAATAAATGGTTTTGTGTGTGGCGTCAAATACAATATGCACCTAGGAATTCTATTCTAACCTCCCGAATCAAAGCTTCTGGCCTGTCCGTTTGAATGGGGCGAATAGGTTTCTATAGGACCCAAAGTTCACAGCCATTATTTGTAGACAGAGCTCAAGAAAAATGCGAGAATTATACAGAAAATCATTAATCACTTCTTTTCTTTAAATACTCCTTCTCTTCTATTGTTATTCAGCGGCAAATCTGGACAGACCTTCTGCTGGGAGAAGAGAGAAAAAAAGGGCTTTGGAAGACACGTGAAGATCCTCCTGGCTTTGTTGTGGCATTTTTTTCTCCGCTCCTCAACAAACTCGGGCCTCCAGCAAACTTTATTTTTTGATTTTAGTGTTTTAAGAGAATATCCTGCGAAAATGAAGACATTAGCCGAAGACTTCAGCGGAGAGCGGATGAGAGCGCCAAAGGTAAGGGCTCTGTTGATTTTATTTCTTGGGTTTTATTGCTTTATTGCGCTGCGATTTCACAGCACGGCGTTGGTAGCAACATTTGGCGAAGGAAAGGAAACAGGTTTTATGGTGTTGGCTTTGAAATCAGACTTCTGTAGCTGGGCTGTTGTGTATCTTGAATGGCTTAAGGGTGTGTGTGGGGTGTGGAGGGGGGGGGGGTTTGAGGTTAAACTGTGGACGGCAATCCAGAAGATGACTTCTCTGAATTCTGTCATCTTTTTTTATAAAGATTTTGGTGGGAATTTTGGGGCAGACCTTGGAAGCATCGGTCGGCCTCAGCAGGAAAATTCTCCGCGTTGGCGTCTCGCTGTTGTCTTAAAATGTCGATATTGTGACCCCTGCCTTGTACAGATTCAATGGTAGTTTATGATTCGATTCTCCACTTAAATGCTTCAAATTGGAAAGCCAGCTCTTTCTATGTGTTATATGGTAGAATGATTCCTAAGTAAGCTGAACGAGCTTTTGGTGAGACAAACGGTTTGAAACAACTCCACCCTGTTATGTTTAATACTTCGTGTGTAGGATTATATTTGTGTGTGTGTGTGTGTTTTATTTGTTAGACACTTTGCCTTCAATCACCCGCCGCCGTTTGCGCCACAAAGATCAATCTCTGTTTGGTTTCACAAGGCTGGCGAATCAAAGTGACGCGCTGTGCTTCTTGCGTGCTGTGGTTTAGGGTAAAAGTTAAGGGGAACAAATGGTACAGACACAAGGAAGAGTGGTGAAGAGAGAAAAAAAATCGATGTGTGGAACGGACAGCAGAATGGCCGGGTCGGGTTCATCCAGGGGCCACGTTTTCTAAGCGATTAGCTGCGTTCTGAAGTCACAGTCTGACCTCTGAAACCCTTGACCTCTCCTGGACTGGACACCGCTCTGTGTAACATTTTGTACATAAACCAGGACCCAGTTACTCATAACACCGCAGCCAGGGCCGTGTAACCCCGGGGCACGCTTCTATCTCTCCGCGCTGGACACTCGTGTAGCCCTCCAGGGCCCGGGCGGGCGACTGTCTGGTTCACTGGTATGTTTGGCAAACACATGCTTTTTACAGTAACACTTGCTGACCACCAGCGGTTCTGCAATCACCGCCGCTCATCTGGGGCGAGTTAAGGCCGATACCAGCTCTAGAGAGCTGCGCTGCCCTTCCTCTCCCGGAAAGAAATGTAACGTCCCAGCACGCCGCACGGGCAGTACCTGGGTTAAAGAACGAACTCCAGCCAGTCCCAGTGGGTAGACGATATATATATATAGATATACGCTGAGAACCGCGGTAGTGCGCCTTTTCTCGAACTCTTGCAGTAGGCCTACAGGGTCCTGCGTGTTGTGGTTGCTCGGCTCAGCCCCTGCGTGGTGCCCTGCATGCGCAACCCGGTTAAGGACACGAGGATTAATCGGTGGGTTTTGCCCACGCCTTCCATTGTGTCTCGCGGTGGGTCGCTCTCCCGCACCCTTGAAGACGCAACCTAGGCGCCTACCGTCGCGAGGTGCCCGCGGTTTCGCGGCCCCCGCGCTAATTGCAAAACAAATAGGCTCCACGTTTTGCTGAATTATTGTTCTGAAAAGCCGGAGAGCGGAGGTCAGAGGCACAGTCATATAGATATATTGCCTAGCCCCGTTCTTCGTGTGTTAATTTTTTTTTAAAGAAATGAAGAAGACACGGTGAAAGAAAAAAACAACAACAAAGAGCTCCTCTTACTACCCCCCTCCGAACCCGTCAGTGCACGCTTTTCTTTTCAGTTTAATAATTATACCAAAGAGACAGGGCGCTGGGTCTGTTCAGCAGGGCGATAATGTATATATTGTACACACGGTATACCTCTGAAATCTCGGGCCCGGATATAAATAAATAGAAATCTTTGCTTCCTTCTCCCCCTCCAATTAGGGAATTAAATCTAGCGCTGGTAGTCTGTGCAACTCTGGGTCGTTAAAAGGGCTTTTGGCATGTGAAAGAAAATTAGCGAGGCTGTCCGGTCGAAATGTTCGCCCGAGCGAAAATTTCGTTGCATTTCGCTCTGTCTCCCTGACGGTTAAAAACGACCTTGTGTATTCTGGTTTTCCCTGCATATAATAAAACGAGTGATTTAAAAAAAAATAATAGTCATCGGTACAAGCGAATTAGCGAACAAACGTGCTTCGATTGAATGGGGGGTATTGTGGATTCGTTGGTGCTGTGAACCCCGTCGATTTTCACCTGCTGAGCGGCAGAGCCGGGCGCAGGAGGCCGAGGTAGCGCGGGGATCAGCCGGTTTGGGTTTCGCGTTTGCGCGGGTAGCAAAATCATTGAACATTAAAAATTTGTCGAGTAACATTTTGGCCACGATGAGTTATGGCTAATGTCAAGGACGGATCCGATTTATTTATTTATTTATTTATTTTTTTGGGGGGGGGCGGTTTGTAACGATTCTTTCTAAATATTTGTTCTTTTGTCGTCACGGCGCTTCCAGAAGAAATCGTAAGTACGCGCGCTGTGGAGGAAGAAGATTTTGGGGCAGAGGCGGCTGGTATCTGGGAGGGTATTTCTCTCAGGAATAACCCGCTGATAGGCATTACTTGAGAAAGGATCCGCGGCACAGCGCCTGCTCTGTCAGATTTATGACCCCCAGTAAAAGCGTGGTCGCGCGGGTTCGTAAATCAATCTTCTTCCCTCTATATAAACCTACCCTTTTGTAAAGGCAATGTTTATATAGGCTTCACCCTTACCTGGGCTGGATATTTTTAGAATCTCTGGTATTCAGTCTTCAGTCAAACTAATTATTATTATTATTATTATTATTATTATTATTATTATTATTATTATTATTATTATTACAAATGGCAAACACTGAATGTTTTTTTTTTCTTCGGTATTGCGAAGACTCATATTCGATTCGATCTCTGTTTTTTAGAGCATTTCGATTTTTTCCTCGGGTTTTGCGTGAACCTCCGCGCTTATGAATCCATCCTCAATGTTAATAAAATACATGGTAGATGTTCATTTGATTTTGAAGGGATTTTCGTTCGTCACAAGCTTTTTTTTTTCCCTGGATTTATCGGTGCACGTTGTTTCGGATTTCTCGTAAAACAACCTTTATTCTCCCAGAGAAATAAACCGTGTTTGTTTATTTCAACTACACTATACGGAATCGTTTACTACTACTACTATTTTTATTACACGAATATTATTATTATTATTATTATAATAACAGTAGTTACAGTGTTAATTTTTATTTTCCTCATATTTACAAAACGGAAAAATTAAACACCTCCGAATTTTTTTTTTTACCTTTTTAATGATCGTTTGAATTTCGCCTTTTTATTTTCGTTGATAAGGTCTGGCGAAGGGAAAAGTAAGGTCGGCAGTGTAGTTGTGTAGCCCCCGCGTTAATATGCTGTGGATTGCTGCTGCCCGGCTGTGAATGAATTCTCTGCTCCTACAGACGGCGCTTTGTTAGCACAGAGGATGACAGTAAGGGCACGAGACATCTAAGTGGTCTCCGGGCAAGAAAAGCTGCTTTTCCTCCTGCTGTTGACTTTTGTTCTAATTGCTGTTGATACAGGCTACTTTTTAACTGTGCATCTTCTGTGTTTTAAACTTCAAGTCGTTTTTGCCCGTTTATTTATTTTTTTCCTGTGTGCCCGAGCGGTTTTTAGTCTGAAACCAGACCGCATAGCGCTTTCGCGTGACCTTGAGATTCGTCCAGAAAGACAGGCCTGTCCGTCCACCGCCGTCCAGTCCTATTGTTCGGAGTTCTAGGAACCAGAACCCAGCGCATTGTCCTAAACGAGCTGCCTGCAGAATTTCGCTGAGCTCCTCTCCCTTGTTATTGCGCCCAGCGATCCTACCTGTGCAGCACTACACCGTTCACGGATAAATTTTT